ACTGGTTTCTTATTACACCTGTTTATGTGCAATGGGCACAGTGTAACCAGAGTTCATGAAGTTTTTCCGGAAAAGAACAGTAATCCATACCGTCGATCTTCCTTATCAATAATTTCTGCCAGAGTTCTTTGTAGCCATTCTTCACTTTCTGTCAAGCATCGTCACGTAAAAGAGTCTTTGTACTTATATTAGACTGACTGACTGACTGACCGGTTTCAACGCAGAACTTCACACAGATGTGCAGCAGTTCAAGTCGCCAAACTCCATATAGCACACAAAGCGAGAGAAGAAAGTAAAAAGAAATGAATAATAGAGAGAGGAAACAGAGGTGTGAGACAAAGGAATAGGAATAACGAAGAGCGATATAGTTTCATTTGAAATCATAAGTCAAAAAGAGTGGATGCATCTGTCCCAGCCATCACTGAAAATGATTTTGAGCCATGTCACCGATTGTCTCCAGCCCCTATTGGATTTTACCGTCCCGAAAACCCCAAGTAGGAAGTCTGCACCCTCCTACGTGGCTTAAACTAGCACTTGTGGAGTTCATTGACTGATGAAACCATGTTTTGGTTTGACAACCACTGGCTCTTCTTCAACCTGATCCATCCTATGTCAGCTAACATTGCCCATCGAGGAGGGCAGTGGTTAGGCATACGTAACACATTTCCTAACTATCTCAGTCGATGTAACTTCACAACCTCGTCGATTGACTTCCCCTCTTTACCTAGCACTCGACCGATGCCTAACCTCAGTATTGCTCACCCTACCATACTACTTCACACGGGAGATAGAACGGAGGCAACTGTGATCGAAGACAACTAGTCTCTTCATGTCTTCCTCTCTCAATGGCCAGGTCTCACAGCCATCTCCTTCACTTTTGTCACCCATCACTGTTCACGGTCGTTACAAGAGAGAACCAGGTAGGCTTTAGACCAGGAAGAAGGTGTATTGATTGAATCTTCACCCTTCGACACATTCTGGAATGGAACATAGGCATATTTACCGCCGTCCAACATTCGTTATATTTCTTGACCTAAAGGCGTCACTCGATTCTGTTGACCAAGAGGTCCTCTGACGATGTTTGGCTGTAAAGGGAATGCCGAGGAAATACACCGCACTGATCAAGGCACTGTACTCGAACTCATGCAGCTAGGTGAGAGCTTACGGCGAGTTGTCATCTGAAGTAGTGACGTCTAGTGGTGTACGTCAGGGACGCCCATTATCCCCATTTATATTCAACTTCATCAGAGATGTACTAATGGACTTAACCCTAACTGACTTCAGCGACTCAGGGGTTGACTTTTTACCAGGGAATAATCTCGTTGACTTAAAATATGCAGACGATATAGTCCTTCTAGGCTAGGACGCTGACAAAATGCAGAGTTTTTTTTAACATCTTGAGCTGCAATCTTCGTATGTTTGGCATGCGATTCGCTCCCACCGAAGGTAAGATTGTGGTGAGAGCTGGCCGCTATTCAAAGTTGGTAGACAGTAATCGACGTCAATGTTTATATCCCCAATATTGGTGGTGAGAAAATGAGAACAAAGGCTTTGCGTAGTCTGTATTTTCTAGTAACAATAATCTACAATAATGTACATTAAAATCTATAAATATGTGTTGACTTTCCTTAATAAACAATCTGTTGCCTGGCTCTTATCTTCTGTTGTTACAAGATGATGTTACAGGACTGGACTACACTGACTCCTAGTTTAGAAATAGGGAGTGAAGTGGTAGAGCACGTTGACCGCTTCACTTATTTGGGAAGTTGCATCAGCCAATGCAAACGTTGTGATTGCTGACGAAATCTCAGCACGGATACAGAGGGCTAGTTTCGCATATGCCAGTTTACGCCATCTCTGGCGTAGACGTGATATCTGGCTATCGACGAAAGGGCGGGTGTACTGCTCAACAGTCCGCTCCGTCCTCCTTTATGGTTGTGAGTGAGACCTGGTCATTCAGAGTTGAAGACATGAAACGTTCGGCTAGCTGTCTTTGATCACAGTTGCCTCCGTTCTATCTCCCGTGTGAAGTAGTATGGTAGGGTGAGCAATACTGAGGTTAGGCATCGGTCGAGTGCTAGGTAAAGAGGGGAAGTCAATCGACGAGGTTGTGAAGTTACATCGACTGAGATAGTTAGGAAATGTGTTACGTATGCCTAACCACTGCCCTCCTCGATGGGCAATGTTAGCTGACATAGGATGGATCAGGTTGAAGAAGAGCCAGTGGTTGTCAAACCAAAACATGGTTTCATCAGTCAATGAACTCCACAAGTGCTAGTTTAAGCCACGTAGGAGGGTGCAGACTTCCTACTTGGGGTTTTCGGGACGGTAAAATCCAATAGGGGCTGGAGACAATCGGTGACATGGCTCAAAATCATTTTCAGTGATGGCTGGGACAGATGCATCCACTCTTTTTGACTTATGATTTCAAATGAAACTATATCGCTCTTCGTTATTCCTATTCCTTTGTCTCACACCTCTGTTTCCTCTCTCTATTATTCATTTCTTTTTACTTTCTTCTCTCGCTTTGTGTGCTATATGGAGTTTGGCGACTTGAACTGCTCCACATTGGTGCATAATTTTACGTCGAAAACAGACAGATAAACAGATGGTCGTTACAAAAACTTCTTGTTAGTTATATTTGATGTTAATACTGACTACGGAAATAGAGTCATCTGAACGATTACTGTTGCTGTACATATCAAAAATGTGGCATATCTGTTTCTTTACTTAATCATCAAAATCGCTGGCTTGTAAATTTATCTCAGAAGTGAAACATCAGGAGGAAATCGATAAGAGTAACAACGAAAGAGGAACAGTTAGTTGAATACAATAAAAAACACAATGTCGAATCTTTTCAACAAGAATGAATATGTCTAAAGTGTTGTGACCGATAAGAAGACTCTAGAAGATCTACATATAGCAGATTATTAGTGTATAATTTCTCACGAGTTCAAAGACCCACTGGCGAAAACAAAAAGTTTAACAGAGGAAGCAGTCAGTGAAGACAGGACTTCAAGTGAACATAGCGAAGACTGAAGTCGTGAAGATAACCAGCCAAGCAACAACAAAAATAACAACAAACATCAATCGTTATCACCGGAGGAAATTTGAAAGACGTCGCTTCCTTCACTTATCCGGCAGAGCACCGTCTTTTCAACTGCATGCACGTCTCATGGATGAGGGTGTCAGCGTCAGTCAGAATCGGAAAGGCAAGAAAGACCTTCATCAATCTGAAAATCTTCTCCACTAAGTAGAAACAATAAAATTCGAATTTTTAACACCAATGTCAAATTAGCTGTTTTATGTGGGTCAGAGACTTGACAAGAGCATCCCGAAAAGCATTTCTAACAGTCTGCTTCAGACTTTTACCAACAACTGACACCTTTGCCGCTTCCATGCTGAAGATCAAATGGCCGGCCAGAAAGAATTAGCATCAAGAAACTCTGCAGTGCAACGAACCAATCAAGAATCTATTGCTCAACAAATATTCCGAATGGGAATAGAGATAGATTGGATACACGCCATTGAGAAAACTGTTGAATAACGTCGCGTTCCAGGTCATCACTTTAGTGTAACCTGAGTGGGAAACGACCAGTTAGGCGCTAGTTATTCCATATTAATTTGTTTATTAGGTATATCACACAGTGAAACAGTATTATTTACTGGATGACGTTTCGACCAAAATTTATTGTTCATAATCATATCAATTGTGATCACACGACTTTGACACTTGAGTTTTATAGTTTTCTTTGTTCTCTCCTATTTGTCGTAGGGGTAGTAGAATTTTCCATATATCGGGGACAGGTGATGAATCATTCCTATTACATGTATTTGCAGTTGATTCAATAAACAAAGCTTCCGTTGTTATCAATCTCTCCCTCCACCCTGTGACATTAGATTTTAAAACATTCATCCTATCCCATCCTATTGTATGGTTGTGTGTGACTGCATGTAGTGCTATAGCTGAACTATTCTCTAGATTTCTTATCTTATTCGGGTCAACTAATCTAGATTTTGCTAGGTTTTTTATGCTCGGCTATTCTGACTACCCCTGTTCTACTACTTTGACCTATGTATTTGACCTGACAATCATTGTGGTCAGGGTATTAGATAAACTAAATTATTTTGTTTTAAAGGCTCCACAGGATTGGTCCTTTAACTGACAAAGCTTGTTTCTAATTGAGTTTGTGGGTGGTCTGAATGCAGGCCACTCTTATTCCTGCCTTGTTAAGAATTCTGCGTAGGGCTTCCGAGGTTCCTTCTTTGTATGGAATTACTGCTGGTGATTTAGATTCCTTATTGTTGTCGTTGTCATTATCCTGTGCAAGTTTGGCATGCATTTCATCATTAATATTATTATTATTATCACTATCACTACTGTTGTTATTTATTTTAATTTTTACATTTCCCTACATACTTTCTGACTAATTTATCAGGGTAATTATTAAGTTTCAAAGCTTCTCTTAATACTGTTTCACTATGTGATACATCTGATAAACAAACTAATATCAGGTCAATATGTATTTTTTTTAAATAAAGCTCAGAGCAACTGATCTGTCAATAAAAGCATCCCTAGAATTCCCTAGATTTCCTAAATAAGATTACCTTGAAATAATGCAGAAGATTTGTAGCTCATGTGGATGATATTGAATGAGTCACATTCTCTGAGCTTTCCTCATCCTTCTAGCCAACAGGTTTTGCCATTTTATACTAACACCTTTGCGCAATTAATTCACAATAAGATTACCTCCCAGAGTAATAGTTAATTCTTCATTAAAACATTGTCTTCTAATGATAATAAATAAAAATATATCTTACATCTAATTAGTATTTATGTCCAGCACAATGTATAGAATAATTAGTATTTTATAGTTAACTTTATAAGTTAAATAGGTTAGCATTACTATTACTATTATTATTATCAATACTGTTAAAAATCAATAAAATACGATCAATAAATATTTGAATAAGCAAGACATAACATAACACAATACACAAAGAAGTAATCCTTTGGTTTATCATTGCTACAAAGACAAAAAATACCAGTATTTCTCTTCTCACAGTGCTCTTTATTTATAAATAATTTTCAATGGGTGATACAAAAGACGATAAAGATCACACGCAAGAAATTACTGGAAGTATAACAGCCTTTTATATTGGTGAAACACAACCACGTGGTGAGCTACCGCAACGTTTACGTGAAAGATTATATGAACGTAAAATTGTAATTAGTAAAGAAAGCTTAATTGAAAGAGAAAAAGCTCGTGAACAACGTTTACAAGATATACGTGAAAAAAAGCTGCAAAAGCTACGTGAACATCATGAAAAAGTGAAACGTTTAGCTGAAGAAAAGAGATTACGTAAATTAAAAGAAAAAGAACAAGAACAAGGACAAGGACAAGAAGAAGAAGGAGAACAGGTTAAAGAAAATATTCAACAAGATGAAATAATGATCAATAATGAAAAATGTTTATCTAGAAATTCAAACTACTTAAATGATTATTATTACTGCTCTGAGGATATGAATGAATTAAAAACAAAGTCAAATTTAAGGTATTACAGTTACACAAGTCAAGAGAATGTAAAACGTCAATATGGTTGAGATAGGAAAGAAAATGTGAATGTGGGGATTTAGAATTTGACCATTTATTTATTGATTTATTATTATTATTATGATTTGTTTATATTTGATTTAGTTTAAACTTAATTCTTTCATCATTTTTCAATATATTACTTATATACTTTTTTATTCTTTATTTCAATTTTTCATGTTAACTTTCATTTTATCCTTCATTTTTATTGTAATAATTTTGTTTTATTTGTTTCTTTTTTATAATTTTTCTTTAAATATAATTTTCTCCTTAAATATTGAAGTTTCTTGTTTACTAAGTAGTCTATTGTTGGGGTGAATAAGCTGTTGCTGGTAAAAGGTAAAAGGGCTGTATATCTGTACACAGATGATGTTATATATACGATTTCGTCCCAAGTATGGAACTCTTCCGAGGTTCGAACTCAAAACCTTTTGAGTATAAGGCGAGGTTCGTCGATCATTCAAAACACTGAGGACACAGTCCAATGGTTTATGAAGTCCAACCGCAATAGCTCTCTCTCCAGCGGGTGAGTACGGTTGAAGAGAGTGACAAACGGGTGCGAAACAGATGTCTAGTAGTGTCTCTGGTTTTCCAGTAGTTTTCTAACTGATTTTTTATGTTATGATCAAGCCTGTCCAACCAGCTTGATGCTCACTAGTTAGTGACTAGCTTTGTACAGGAAGTGAGAAGTTGTGACCAGTAGGGTCGCATCAAATCAGGTGAGAGAGCAGTTACTCGAGGATAACATAAGGTAGTGGTAGTTGGTTGGTTGAAATTGATGACTCATTGGATCGTGTTCCAGTACTTGAATAGTCTACAAGCATATACGATTTATCATATCGACAGAAATAGGAATTTTAGAAATCGATAAATATAGAATGCAGGTAATATTTTTCGAAATAAACTACAGTAGGACAGTTTTAATCAGCCTTCACTGTTTTTAACAAAAAATTTGCATATTTTCTTTGTTGCGGTAGAACACAGTGGTATTTGGCAACTAAATTGTTTATTTTAGAAAAATGGGGTACAGTGATGGCAGAATATGAAATGCCCTACAATGAAATGTCTAGAATTTCCCCAGAAGTTTTTCGTATTCTGCTTCCTTTGTCTTCGTTTCATACTTTCTGTATTGTTTCAATGGACTGGATCATGACGTAGATTGTGGGGAGTGAGGAGACAGAATTTTGTTAGGTCGACAATAAGACTTTAGAAGGTATGGACTTTACGGTCATGTGAGTCTGATATATCTCACAAAATTGGAGATATGCATCTGGACTTCTCCAATGATATATGTCCGATTTCCCACAAACTGGAAGATATGCAAGTTAAAAGCAACAAGTTGGCAGAAAAAGCATCAAAGATGGGAAGGACTTCACGTGAACATAGAGAAAAGAGAGGTCTTGCAGATTACTGGGCAACACCACCAACAGCAACAACAACAACAATCAGCATAAATGGAAGGAAACTGAAAGAAACAACCTCTTTTACCTACCTGGGAAGCATCGTTTCAACTACAGGCAGAAGGAATTGACGAGGATATCAAAACAAGAATTGGAAAAACAAGACAAGCTTTCACTACTTTCAAGTCTGTGTAGGTCAACAGCACAACCAGCATGAAAATGAAAATAAGATCCTCCATCAACAGCTGTATTCCCTCAATACTACTCAAGATCAGATGGCCGGCCAGAAAAGATCAGCAACAGGGAGGAATCTCTGGCAATGAGCAAACCAACCCAGCAACAAATATGCAGGAAGAAATGGGGGTGTATTGGTTGTACTCTGAGAAAACAAACCATCAAGTTACATCACACGCCAGGCCATCGCTAGAGTGGAAGCCGTATGGGAAGCGGCGAGTTGGTCGTCAGTGAGAGGGTGAAATGGAGGAGGAGGTGGTGTGAAGAGGAGATGAAAGCATGTTGGCAGACGTGAAGCCAAGTGAAAACGTTGATGGAGAACCGAACGCAATAGAGACGTGCGGCTGAAGCTCTTTGTTCCTCCAGGAATTAAAGGAAACAATAATAATAATACATACTTACATACAAAAACAAACAAGTCGACAGAACAGGCTACCAGTAAAGACAGGACATCGGGTAAACTTAGAGAAGACAGAAATGGTGAAGGTACGTGACAAACAGCAGCAACAAGCACCAATCATAAGCACTGGGAGATACTTGAAAAAAGTCACTTATCTTGGAAGCACTGATTCAACTGCAGATGACACAGACGAAGATGTCAAAACCAATCATGATCGGAAAAGTAAGATAAATATTGATTAGTCTGAATTGAATGTGGAAATCCTCTGCACCCACCGTGAAGAACAAAATTTGGACTTTCAACACTAATGCCAAATCAATCAGCGTTTCTATGTGAATCAGAGAATTAGTACGTCACCAAAGGCACTAGAATTTTAACAACACCTGCCTTTACTGCCTCCATATTGAAGATCAGACTGGCGGGAAGGAAGTGTAACAGTCAGCTCTAGTAGGTGACAAACCAGACAACAACCTGTCGCCCAATAAAAGTGCAGAAGAGAATGGAGAGAATGGACTGGACGCACACCAAGGAGATCGTTGAGAATGAGATGTCATATGCCAGGTTATCACTGGAGTGGGACCTGAATGAGAAACGTTAAGTCAGGCATTAGTCTGAGGATGAAATGGAGGAGATTGTGAGAGAAGGAAATGAAATTTTACGGATAATAATGAAGCCAAAGAGGTGTACATGTGCTGTTGAAGCCCTACGTTTCATATGGAAGTCAAGGGAATATTAATTACAATAATATTGTTTCACAGTGATCTTCAATCCCCTCTTTGCTTTTTAATCCTTGACTGACTTATTCAAGATTTTTACAGAAGACGCCACCACTATACTACTAATAAGTTCTTATCAGTAGTGTATACCACAGCTTACTGTTCAAGTATTTATCCTTTTTATTTCGATTTATTTCCACTGTGTGTAATGATTTTAAACACGGCGCTGGGCTGTACTTCGATCCGTTAAAAGTCAGACCAACAATGCAACCAGCTGGAAGATATTTTAACTACTGAACTGACGAAACATATCACAAGTGACCGATACATCTTAATGAGCCACATGCAGAGAAATTTAAATAGGTCACTGCTTTGATTGGACACTAGTCAGTAACTAGTGTAATGTGTCTAGTCCTTTCTTTGGTGCAAACTGAATTCTCTCAGTCAGGTTTGCAATGTGGCCACCATTCTAGGTAGCTCGCTATCATGGTGTACATTGATTTGATGATATTAGATGGTTGGAGGCAATCGGCTACAGGAAGCCTTGGACCTAGGTTTCGTGCTAGTTGGCACTTGTCAGTGGTAACGTCTCTGACTGAAGCACTGGGTGACGCGGGTTCGAATCTCAGAAGGGACATGAGCTCCTTCAAGGTTGCAGATACGTCTTGCTGACGAGTGCCAACTAACACGAAACCTAGGTCCATGGCTTCCTGTGGCCGATTGCCTCCAACCATCTAATGCCATCAGCTCACTGCTTCCTTATGTTTTTGATAAAGATTTTTCCATCATACCAATGAAGTATTTACTCTGACACAATCCAGTTTAGGGAATACAACACCTTCGCAGACACTTATGCGTGAATTTTAGTAACTTTAAGTATTTAGTAGAGGACAAATAAAGGCTCATTATATCCTTGATCTCTAATGGATACAACTAACTTCCTCGGTATCAAACATCACTCATTATATGGAATAAGTTAAATATGACAATGTTTAGATGTAGTTGTGTTCTCTGAGTTGGAGAGTTTATATGCGAAGCTTTCATTGCCCTACTAGGCACCATCTTCAGCGCATACTTCAAATTAAAGTATGCGCTGAAGATGGTGCCTAGTAGGGCAATGAAAGCTTCGCATATAAACTCTCCAACTCAGAGAACACAACTACATCAAAATGACAATGTTTACCATTTTGAATGGAAGTTGTATCATTATTATTATTATTATTCCCAGGGGTACCGAGTGGAACACAGGGTTTCAACAACACATCTCCATGTTCTTCTATTTTCTGCTGTCCTCTTGAGCTAGGTCCACAATTGCCCATAATCTCTCATCTCCTCCTCACACGATTCTTATACATGCTACGTGAACTCTTTACAAATGTTATTTCCTTGCGCAGGCTGGATATACAGTCAGTCTGTTGGAGATTCTATTGAAAAGCCTTATTTTTCTTTGAAGGCAGACGGAAATAAATCCTGTGGGTGAAGCAACTGATGGAGGTAAACCGTCTTCTCACTTATGTGCTTGGGCTGAGTTGACAATGGAGTATATTGAGTCAGTAGGTACAATAATTTATTAATATATTTTATTATTCACTTGGGTTCCGAGTAGAACATAACGCTTCAACAGCACATCTTCAATTGGTCCTGTTCTGTGAAGTCATCTTCAACTGGCTCCACGATTTCTCGTAGTCTTTCATCTCCTTCTGACCACATGATCTCCACCCTATCAATTCCAGTCTAACTAACGCCCGAATTGTCGTTCCCCGTTCGGATTCCATTCGAGCGACGGCCATGTGCGCAATGTCACTCAACGGTCTCCTCAGTAGCGTGTGTCCGATCCACGTCCATTTTCTTCGGAATATTTATTGAGTAACGAGTTCTTGCCTGTTGGTTCGTTCCCAGAATTCCCTGTTACTAGTTACGAACACAATACATTAAAAATGACTAAACGGATAGAAATGCTCCATCTATATTTAGAATTTTTCTTGTTTCATTGAATCCCAGCGCCAAATTGCTGATGGCTTAAATGTTTGAAACACTATAAGAGATATACTACTGATTTTTATTAGTAGTTTGATATCACAACAGTAAGTAATCACAGTGATGTCCTTAGGCAGAGAATTTCGACTTCTTTAAGAACTTTCTTTGCGGCAACATTGAGAGTAGTATTCTCCAGTCGCCCGCTGATCTGCAGAAGCCCAAAGGACAAGATCCCGCACTTGACCACTTCTATGTGTAGATATCAGTTCACCTGTTGCTGTGAAGCCAGGTACATCGGTCGTTCAACGCGCATCCTGTCAAAAAGGGTCGAAGAACACTATCCAGCGTGTCTCTAGAAAGGAAGTAGTGGCCGTATAAGGCGTGCAATAATCGAATATCTCGTCACCACTGGTCATTCCATCTCAATAAACGCCTGCTCCTTCAAAGTAATCCACAAAATGAAGAACAACCTACC